GTCTTTAGTCCAATATATATAGCATCCGTAGCCTCTTCTTTCCTTTTATTCCAAGATCTTCCGGCTCACAAATATGGTGATCCTCGGTCAACCATATATATATGGAAGTAAGTGGATACGTGCATACTATGAGTAAATCACTCAATAACAAAACAGATATGGAGAATATTACGTTTTGCAAGAATATGTATATCATCACATATAAAGAGAATACTTTATTCTCTTAATATAAGCATGCAACGGACATTATGTAGCAATAACATCAATGATTAGTTCTCTTTAACAAGTTTGAATATGTAACGATCATATAAGTAAGATATTCAAATAAGGTGCTACAGATCATGCAAGCCAAAATACTTTCCAAAATTTATCATTTAATATAATGACTTTTTAACATTAAGTGATAAGGAAATATTTACTTAGTGGATTCAAATATGCTACGGTCAATTTATGCAGGATATTTATGTAGCATAAACAATGATTCTTTCCATAAGCTATAAAGCTATATAGGCCAACTCATAAAGGTGAGTGCTTAGTCATACATGGAAGGATATTTAAATTGTGCCACGTACATTAAGAATATGCATGATCAATCTAGGCACGTAGATGAGGTATTATCATGCAGGCACATATTAATTTATTCATTATGCACAACAATCAGTCATATAGATTAGAACTAAGTATAGTTCTAATTTTCGTTCCTAATAGAACTGAGAGCAGTTCTGTCCGCCATTCCACCTACATGGTTAGTCATCAACAAAACAACATATTCAACACCGAGCATGCTTCCATGGCAGACTGTTCCAGGTCACCCGTCTCCTGCGCCGGTGCAGCCAACCAACTCCTCAGTTCTTCAGTACTACGTTCACGGGCTCACCTGGCATCACTCAGCCCACTGATTCATCAATTTTTTGTTCTCCCATGGCTGCTATGGCACAATCTGTGTCTCGTATCACTAAGATTTCACAGACTGTTGAAGATTATCTCACTTGGCGCACACAATTGGAGTCGTTCCTCATCTCTCAAGGTCTCTTTTTTTGTCTCGGAGCAAATCACCCTGGGTGGGGGAAGTTCCGGGGAACACTTCCCTATTTTATTTAGGGAGAACTATCAAATAAGCCCCCGAATTTTCATAAAAAGTGCAAATAAGCCCTTTTATAGGAGGCTCTGTCCGTCCGTCGCCATTTGGGGCGGTTTCCGGGGTAATTTTTTGATGAACTTTTTTGAGTATTTTATTAATTAAGTCTAGTTTATTCATACCAAATTTCAGATAAAAATTCAATTGGGAAGGCAGTCAAATGAATTTTTGAAGATAACTGCGCAGTTAGACGGCGTAATATATTTCAGAAAATCATTTGAATGCCTTATTGATTGAAATTTTAGCTTCAATTTGGTATGGGTAAACTCGACTTAATGAAGAAAATGCTCAAAAAAGTTCATCAAAAAATTCCACTGGAAACCGTCCGAAATGGCGACAGTCGGACAAAGCCTCATGTAAAAGGGCTTATTTGCACTTTTTATGAAAGTTCGAGTACTTATTTGATAGTTCTCCCATTTTATTTATAAAAGTTTAAAGATACAAGATAATTAAAGATACATGGGTTGAATTAAAAGATACATATAAAATAGAGATACACTAGCAATTGAAATTTCTTGTTGGAATTCCAAGTGCAGCTGATATATTCCTATTAGATTTCTCTTTGGCATGCTTGATGGTTCTATTCAAGTACCTCTTATATATGTACACTACTGATATCACTAATTGTCAAGTTAGCAGTTCTGAATACTATCCCTGGCTACGTGTGGATCAAACTATTCGATCATGTGCTATTTGGGAGCGTCTACAAACTAGGTTTATGTTTGTTAGTTTGCCTCGTTCTATGGAACTTAGACGTCTGTTATCTCAAAATAAAAAGAAAGAAACTCAGTCCATGAAACATTATTTGAGGGATATTAAAATTATGGTTGATGCCCTTGCGGCAATTAATTCCCCTATTACGGATAAAGAGTTGCTTCAGTACACCATTATGGGATTGGGACCTGAATATGAATCCTTGGTTGGCACTATTACCCTTTTTCTGAAGAGTTTTCCCTTTCATGTTTGGCATTCACGCCTTTGGGAGAAGGAGCAACGCGTTTTACACAACCGTCAACAAGTTCAATCTCAGGCTCATGAAGCCTTTGCAGCTCTTGCTGGGGTCAGCCAGCCAGCCATGGCGAACGCATCTCGTGGCAGAGGAGGCCGCGGAAGAGGTGGTCACGATAGGGGTGGGCGTGGACGCAAGCGTTTTCCTTATGGTCAGCAGTAGCAGTAACCCTTCAGACAACCTCTTGCATTCTGCCATCCGGCGAATTTTGGTCAGCAGCAGCCGCCACTTGCTCAACCGCCAGGGGGTGCGGTTTTTCCTAGACCGGGCACTTCAGGTAATGTAGGTAATTCGGTTTTGTCCAATTTAAATGTTAATCCCTTTTCTACTTGCGGTACTAACTCTGGCTATGCAGACTTTCCCTTAGGTGAGGGAGTTCTTGGGTTTGTTCCCTCTCCCATTGTGTGTCAGATTTGTTTTTCTATAGGTCATTCTGCTATGAATTGTTCGTCACGCTTTTCACAAACATCTATTCCAGCTCTATTAACTCTTAGTGGTGATGCTAATAATGCTTTATGGTATCGAGATTTTTGGGCTTCAGCTCACATGACTCTGAATGAAGGTAATTTAGTTAATAAATGGATGCTTCATAGACCTGGTTGCATGAATAAGAGGATTGCATTCAACTGATTAAGGTAACATAAATGCTTAGCGAAATTCAACATATCAGACAAGCAGAGAAGCAATACACTAAAGAATAAACATATACCTCCCGGTGGGTTCTATTATTAGGCAGGCTGATCACTAGTCGCAGTGTCTCCTCTCAACGGCTCTTCATCTGCATCGTCATTTAGACCGGCTTCCCTCTTAGCCTTTGCAAGGTCGTAGCCCGGGGGATCACAATTGACATGATACCCGATATTAGCAGAACACAAATCCCGACACCATTTTTAAAGAACTAGAACCAAGGGAAGAAGAAGGAAACCTAAGGACCGATCCCAAAAACCTACTCTAGGAACAATCATTGTCCGATCTCTAAGCGATTTACACTAAGATCTTTCAAAACGGAGAACATCATGAACACTCGGAATGTTACAATCGTGTTCTTGAGCGATTGAGATCCAAATAGGGATCTAATCACAAAATCAAGGCGGAATCCGCCTCCAGGCCGGACTCTGAGCCTCGGTGTACAACATTTTGGGACAATGCTTACGCCATAAACCATAAGTCCATTGAAAAAACCAGATACTTAGAGATTCCAGCGAAGACAGTGAAGAAAGACAGTCCATTCACTCACTATCCGAAAAAGCACAATAGTGATGTCATATTGTCCATTCACTCACTGTCACAATGACAAAACCGGCTAGTAAATAAAAAAAATTGCCAACTCTTGAAATCCAAAGTCTCGCATTACTAAGTCCCACACGCCTCTGTAGCAGGCACTACCTCACCCCCCAAGCTCGGGACCTTACTCTTTTTCCCAGAATAATATATCAAGGCAAAAAGAGTGGGGGGACTAGTAAGTGGGGGCTCAGCCAACATCAAATAAAGCAAGCACTCAGAGTACAAATTTAACTAGCTCTGACTTGTCAACTATTTCAGGCATTTACTTTAAACCAGTTTCTAAATTATTTACAATTTTAATCAACGTCCCTCGGCTACGGCCGTTGAAGAAGAACTAACATACATGAACAAGATGTAAATTCCATCAGAAATTCTGGAACAAAGCTTGGACCATCAAAGGACTATGGTCTTGGATCACTCATCTTATGCAGCGGGGCGTCACCTTCTTCTCCAGAAGTTTTCTCGAGGCGGATGGTACTCTTTTCCATCCATTATGATTTTTTTCCGGCTGATTTTTTTCCTCAACGGAGCTGTTAATGAGGCGCCCCGCGTTATGACCATGGAAATAAGTTCCCCCACTGAGCACGCACAAATTAGTCGAAGAAACTACTTTCTATTACCTTGAATGATATTCTCTCCTTAGAGAGTGGGAGACTCGTGATGGAGTATATTCCCATATACCTTGGAGGGACTACAACACATGAAAGAACCATAGTAATCGACTAAGGAAACAACAGTCGACCGAGGACGAGCATGCCAGTTAGGCTGAGACCAAGCGCAACACTGATTCTCAAAGCAATGAAACAATCCAAAACTGCAGTCGAGGCCAAACTCATAACTCAAGGCGAAGTCACGCCTCATTCTCAGACCAAGCAAGGCAACTCCAAAACTACGGATGAAGCTGAAGCTCTTTATGCATGAGCCAATCATTATCTAACCAGACATTACCTACGGTGAACTTTGCCTACAACGATTACACATGAGTTGAGCGCCCCGCTCTCTAAGTCAAGCAGAGCGGAGTTTGGCACACCAAATAAACAATTGTTTGTACTTAGACATTTCAGTACCAATACTGCAACCATGTGGAAGATAAGATCGCCAAGGAATGTTTCTAACTACCTCTAGGGTCAGTAAGAGTGTACTTTCATAATTATCAATCAATCACAGATTCTCTCACCAATCAGTCTGTACATGTGGCTCGTTCTTATTAGACTGGCTATTTTTACTTGTTCTCTAAGTATTAGACTTTTTAGTATAAATGATCACCTTCGGGCTTGTGGAAAGGATTTTGAAATTCCTTTCTTAGCATGTTGTTATTTTGCTAATTTTACTACTCAAGCTCATACTTTCTCTCTCCAACTTCCCTCTTGGATTTTACTACCCCTGTCCCTAAAGACCATCAATATAAATATTATTCGGTCTAGTAGTATAGTGAACTCGTTCCAATTTCTCAATGCATATCTTTGACTACTAATTAGTATACATTTAATGCATACTAAGTAATAGTTGATCAAAGTTATGCAATGGGATATTAAATGTGAAAATGAAAGTGTTGTAACTCGTGAGTAATAGAGAAGTAGAAAATAATAGAAATAAGCATGATATTATAAATATAGTCTATTTGAAGTAAACCAGCCATCACTGAACTAATTTAGAAGAACAAGCTATGTATTAAGTACAGACACTTGAGAAGCTAAGCTCCGCTTATTAGAGATCAACTAGAAAGGTTAACAATTTATTTTTGGAAATGTCTGAATTAAATTTGTGAGCAGCTTTTAATTAGGGAGTATGAGTGTCGATGTTCTTGCGAATGGTGTCCTTAGACTCATCGGCCTTATTGACCACATTGTCTTTGATCTTATGGGTTGTGTCTTTCACCGCATCCCAAGCGTCTTGTGCCGTTTGTTTTGCCTTTCCTGCTAAATCATTCGCAGCCTCCGACACCTTCTCTCCCATGGCTTTTGCTTTCTTCACACCCTGCATGCATGCAATGATTTAAATCTAATATCATGTTAAGACTCGGGTTTCATCATAAAATGTCAACTTGATAAGAAGTTACTCCAAAATATTAATATAACATTTTGTTACTTTGCAAATTATGAGTTGAAACTTTTAGATTAACTTTTCCACACGATCTTAGTGAACGTCAATATGTTAGAAAACATATGCATTCTATTTTATCCATCATTTTTATGCAATTCATATACAAATCATCAAAATAAAAATATACATTCTATTTAAAAAATCATGCAAGTATCTTACATTTTGGGTGAGAGAGTTACAAACCTCTTCTTCAATTAATACATCTGAAATGACACATTATTCTTCCTTTATCTCGCTAAAATCGTCTCATTTGAAATTACATGATTAATGTCTTTTCCATTAAGTAAGAGGGTGTCATACTAAATTTAGTGGAATTTGTATAATCCTAATTAAATCTTACTTTATTCTGACTTTTTTCAATTCAATATTCATTATATAAACTTATTTTTCTTACTAATCCATACAATCAACCTACTAGTCACTACTGTTTCTCTATTTCAAATGCACATTTCAAATTTGAAAACCGATTTTGGGAGAGAATGTTCTTGTCCATTTTTGAAAGTTGAAGTTAGATATAACTTTATGCGGTACTCCGTATAATTTGAGAGTTACTTACATCATCCGCGGCGGAGGAAGCGTTGTGTTTGATTTGCTGGGCGGCTTTGCTGGTGGCATCGGCGCCTTGTTTGGCGGCGTCGGCTCCTTTTGCGGCGGCAGACTTGGCTTCATCGTAAGCTCCGGGTCTGCTTCCGTAACGTTTACTGGGAGTAACAGAAAGGAATGATGGCCGTCTGGTGGTGCCAACTACCGTCATGGTGCCTCTGCACAGTTGCAGTTTCGTCAAACTTGCCGTTAAACTCATGCTCGCCATCTGATTAAGTATTAATGAATCTTTTAATGATCTTATTAGTGTTAATTACTTTTGATTAATGCATGGAAGAGGGAATATAAGTAGCAGTTATAATGGCGGAAGGGTAACTGTTTTTTCTCCAATTGGTGGTTGAGAAATTTGGGCTATTCTCGTTTTAGTAGTAAAAAAATAGGGCAGAGGCGACGCACGACTTGAGGGTAGATTAGTTCGTTAATTTGGCGTGTTTGTAGCTTTATTAGTGAAGGACAAAAGTTCTTTTGTAAGTTTGGATTGGTGTTTTTCTAACCCCTCATCTCCAATTAGTATAAATTCAAATTGGTCTCAATTTTCTCTTTAAATGTTTCAATAACTTAAAATAAGTAAATAAATAACATAGTCTTGATTGCTTAAATTTGAAATTTTGTACTCCGTATAATCGATTTACTAAGATAAGAGTAAAACCACACTCACTGTCTCCCAAATTGTGATTTAAGTCCATTTAACTTATGATTGATGTTGGAACCTTGATGAAGTGTCTCCCAAAATTGTTTTTTGCAAATTGTGATTTAAGTCCATTAAAAAAAGTACAACATCGCACTTTTTGATAGTTCTAAAGCAAGACAGTAAGTTTTATAAATTTCATTCAAGTAACTCTTTAAAATGTCAAAAATACAATATAAACTTCACAAAAATATCACTCTAAGAACAAAAATTGTTGAATGCTTTGAATCAGCTGAGTTGTGAAAAAGGAAAATTATAACATATTTGTAGTTCATTAATTAGATAAAGAGTAATTATATGCTAACTAAAATAGCTCTTTGACCTCTTTTCAGCAAACTCAGTCAATTTAGCGAGAAAATTAACTTGAGTCTTATTCATTCTGATTATTAAAGAACTTAATGCTAGAAGTCAAAAATAAGTGTTCGATACAGAAAAAATAGAGGCTCCAAACATGCCCAAAGTATTACTAAAATATATGGAGTACTTTGTAAGAACTGTAAACTCCCGCAAATTATACCGTCGGAGTAAACATTTTTGTGTCAATACCACTATTAGTTATTTGAACGACACTTTTTCTTCCTTGGAGCATCGTATCTCATTTTTCCTTTGCTTCTTCTTCTTTTTTATTATTTTTCTTCAATTCTTGTCTCATTCTCCATCAAAATACTAAAAATTTAATTATAATTTTATTTTTCTTTATCTTCAACTTAAATTATAACTCAATCTAGTTTTTTATTCAATTCATAACAAGAATTTTATTAATTTAAATAAAATAATTATATTACATTTCATATTCATGCACTATATTTTTATTTTTGTAATCTTTTTTATATTCATACACTTTTTTGTAATATGTTTTTATATTCATACACTTTTTTATATAATATATATTTTACCTCTTTTATATTTTTGTTAGAAGTTTTTAAGACATTGAGTTTGTTTATTTCCATTAACATTTGATAAAACAAGTGATTGCATTTTCATGTATCCGATTTACATATTACATTTATACATGATTCCTTGAGTTAAATTTGATAATACCTGGAGTTACATCTTTTTATGCACGAGTTACATCTAATTATTTGGTATTTTTTACTTATCTTTATCTTTAACTAATTAAATTACAACTGAATTAACTTCTTTCTTTACCAATTTATTGCAAAATTTTATTAACCTACATAAAATAAGTATATTGTATTTCTTAATCATACACTATTTTTTTTTTTTACTTTTTCTTCATCTTAAATTACCACCAAATTTGTTTTTTGTTTTTCTTTACATTTATACACTTTTTGTAAAATAGTTTTCATATTCATACACTTTTTTCTATAATAAATTTCTTCTCTTTTATATGTTTTAGTGTTTTAAAGACATTAAGTTTGTTTATTTCAATTTAAATTTGATAAAACATGAGATTTCATTTTTCATATGTGTGAGTCATGTTTATAGACATTATAAGGAGTTACATCTTCTTATGCTCGAGTTACATTTTCTTATGTAGAAGTGACATCTTCTTGTGCGTAAGTTACATCTTTCTATGTGTGTCAGTTACTTTTGGGTTTGCCTCAACAAGTTACATTGTGCATACACTTAAGTTAGATTTTCCATCAATGCGAGTTACATTTTACATAACACGAGTTACATCACAACATAAACCTTGCTATTGAAACAAAAGAATCATTTTTTGCAAAACAAAGTTAAGTTTTTGGCAAAAATGATTTCTTTGTCAAAAAGGTGATTTTTTATAATCATTTTATAGCCTTAATATTAAAAGCAGAACATATTCACTATTTAAGTAAACCTGGCTATTGAAACAAAAAATCACATTTTTGCAAAAGAAATGAATTTTTGGCAAAAAACGATTTATTTTGGCAAAAACAGTGATTAAAAAACATTTTTATGGCATTAATATTAAAAATAAAATTGATAGATAGTGTATCCGGGGGGTAGCTTAGCCGAGGGGTTACTGAGGGGAGTACCTAGAGAGAAAGAAGCCAGAGCAAATAAGTAAGAGAGAGTGAGTTCGAATATATGAGTTATGTATTCAAGGTGTATTCAGCGTGGTCTACAATGGGAAAAGAGGGTGCTATTTATACCAGCAATAAATGCTAGATAGGGACACATGTCAGCATTCTGGTGGTCGAGGGGTCACCTCAACCGGGGTGGCGCTGACACTCGCATGTGGCCGCATTAAATGCGGTGGTTGGATGTGACGTTTGTACTTAGTACGATGATCCAACGCATGTGGATGGGAGATTCTATCGAGGTGGATGCCTTCGGCTGTATATGACAGTCCGAAGGCTCTGCGTATCGGAGGCCTCACCGTGCGGAGGGCCCCAATTGCCGAAGGCTTGGTTTTCAAGCCTTATTTTCCCGTGATTTTGCTGAGCCCAATTCTGTTACTGGTAGCCTTCAGCCATGGGGCCGAAGGCACCCCTTCATGTATCGTGGGTTGCTTAGAGCTTCAACCTGTTGGGCTTGGCCCGCTTTGGGCTCATTGGGCCTGAATGTAATAGTGGAAATATGTGGGCCGGGGGTCCCTGGGCCATATACTCCATCAGGAATCTCTCACTCCTTTTGCCGAAAGGTACTTGAGGGAAAAGGAGTAATTGTGTTTGTCCTCTGATGCTGCCTTGCTGTAGTTTGTAAAGTCTGCGAGTAGATTCTCGTATGCGCATTTTGCCGAGGGCAGTCCCTCAGTGCCCCACATTTCGGGATTTGAAGGATTGTGTGTGATGTCATGGGGAAAGTTTTGACGTTTTGTGATTTTCCCGGAGGGGTCCTCTAGTCCCCCACTCCTTGAGGCACATGTAATGTGGTAAAAAGGAGTAGGGTAGTCCCTGTTATTAGCATAGGGCCGAGGGCCTGACTCTTTTCGTTTCATTTTTGGGGGATGCCTCGTTAAAAAACCTCATTAGGAAAAACCCTTTGGGAAAAAATCCTAATGAGGGGAAAAGAGTGCACCGAATTCCCCCAATGATGAATCAAAAAGGTGAAGCGCTTGGTTTGATATGAAGAGCAATGTTGCCGCCGAGAGCTATTCGTGATGTGAGGGGTTGTTTGTTGATTTTGTCGAAGGCTCCTTATTGGTGTCCTGGTGATGCCGAGGGGAGTGACTGTTGGGAGCACTCCTCTGAAGGTGTCTGTAGTTGATAAGCATGAGTGGGCATTCTGGGGACTGTCAAGGGTAGTCCCCCAGTTTTCGAGGGCAGAGGGCATGGTGAATGTAGACGATAGTTCATGTATTGCCGAGGGGTGTTCTCTGGTTGTCAACCTTTGAGGGTTACAGGTTCCCGCGGGGTTCTCCTGGAGGAATATGAATATGATAGCCCGAGGGCATGCATAGTGCTATCTGAGGGGTGTCACCTGAGGGCGTTTCTGTATCCTCAAAGTATAGCCGTTGTAATATGACCGTTGGAGAAGGCGTCCACGTGGCGTGTTCCCGTTGGCTGTCCACGAGCGGGGTCACCAGTTGGCTGAAGCAACAGTGTGTAATGATGATTTTCCTTTCGGGGGCCCGATTTTCGGCCCAAGCTCGGATTGGGGGGGCTATAAATACCCCATGGCCTGGGCCATTCCTCCTGCACGATTTGTTGTCTAGCGAAGCTCAGGCAAAATTTTTCTAGAGAGAGAAAGTCCCTTTCGATCAAATCCTACTCTCCGAGGTTAGTTCTTGCTCCATTCTTCACTCCGCTAGTATACTTTTCTTTCCGGCCTGAGATTAAGTGTTAGAGCCTTAGGGAGCCCTCTGTGTAACACCGTCCCCAAGTATATTTACTTTTAGTAAATCATGTAATGAACCTTGGATAACGATTTATGAATTTACAAGGTTGAAAATTTTTTGTTATTATTTTTTGTGAATAATGAATTGCACGCGGGACCCGCATCGGGAGTGGGGACCACCCGATAATTCCGGGGTCATATATTTTATTCATCTTGGTCTAGATGATAAATATATAGTGGTGGATATTTCATTTGGGCCATGGAAAGGCCCAGAGTTGACCGATTGGTCAAAAGAGGCCCAAAATTACCGGTACTGGTAATTTAACAGATAACAGCCCTAATTGGATTTCGGAGGCTTATAAATTAAAGTTGAGGAATGTATATTCATTATAAATGTCATAATGAGTAAGAACACATAATATATTTTATTTGACCCGGTAAAATAAAATATATTTAAAACACTCCGAAAAATACAACTTTTGGGACCGATTGTACACTTCGGGACGAAAAGGGTTGACCTCCCACATGAGTGGGGGCCAACCCACTATTTTTGCCACTCAAATTGAGGGCTTGCCCGGCTGAAATGAGAGAAGGAGGATAGGGTGGAGTTGAGGTGAATGAAAAGGCATCTAAAGGACATGAGGTGGACCTCCCATCCACACTCATTTGTCCAATGAGGCAAAAGGACCATTCCTACTCTCCTATCTCTCCCATTTTTCGGCCAAGCATCCCAAGAGAGGAGGAGAACCTATGCAAAGCTTCATTCCTCCATAGCCAAGTGAGCTCAAGAAGACAAGGTCCAAGGAGGGAGATTAAAGAAGGAAAAAGTTAGGAAAAAGTGTGGTGA